GAGAATCAGCTCGATATTGTAAATCTCCAAGAAAATAAAATGACGCAATTTGATGTTAAATTTGGATTATAAGATTTTTTCCTTATAGTTAAGCCACGCCTAAACTGGAAATTTTAAATTTGTTTCTCACAAGAAACAGTAGGTGCAAATTTCTTTAACAGATCATTTTAAACAACTAATGTGGAATGACACTTCGATCCACAAAGAACTGAAATCGGTCTAAATAAATCGAAAAACATATTGGCGGCTTCTTTTAAAACAAGGAACATAATTTGAAAAAACATCAACAAGTATATACTCACAGAATTCGACCAGAACATTTTTATCTTTGATCGCTCCTTCGAAATTATCCTTTGTCAAAACTAAAACATGATTTTCTTTCTTAATTTCATCTGCTATAGTGGATGCTATACATAGCGTAACTATTAATAATTTAATAAACATTGCTGAGTATTAAGTTGGAAGCCGGTATACTAAATCTGCAACTCTTGACACTGAAAACACCAACGCCGCAAGAGAAAGGAAAAGTCAAACGTGGCACAGCAGCAGCAACAGCGTAGGCCCAAGCGTTTATAAGATACGTAACACTCGTGTGTAGAGTTGATTGGTCGAGCGTGTGTATCACTCGCAATCGCAGAGACTGGTCGAAGGTCTTTTTCAAAGAAAGGATAAGAAATGGTGGTCTCAGAACAGGAAAACTCCTTGATAGTGAAAACAAAAAAATTGAAAGTAATTTCTCATTTAATTTGAGTAGGTTTCCCTTATTTTTTTTGATTAGGCTCGGTATCTACGCGTCTAGAAAATTTTATATTAATTAAAAGAAAAGAAAATGGAGCTTTTTCAACAGCAAACAATTATTTTCGTTTAATTATCATCTTTTAAAATAGCAAAAAATTTTATTAATAAAAAAATATATATAAAGAGAATATCATTTGTCAGTTTAAAATTCATGCAATATGCTTCATTGAAAAAGCAAAATGAAGCTTTTGTTGGTTAGAATTTTATTTTAGCTCAAAATCAAACTGCTAAATGTTAAAAAAATATATCAGAAAACAAAAAAAATTAATTAGTTGTCCTTTCTATGCATGTTATAAGGAAATATTAATTTTTCTGACGTCATTCGAGGACTGATTCCTGCAACCAATCAGGGCTTTCGGTTTATAAAGAGCAAGACGTTCCTTAAACCATCCGGTTTCGTTTTCCGTAATTTCTGTTGCGAGGTTCTTTGACATGTAAAAAATCAGATACTCGTTTTGTGCGTAATGTCTTTTCGTCACTTAGAGGCTTGATGTTTTAGCCGGTTCAAGGACAGTCATACATTTGTATACATTTATCTTTCCTTTGAAATTATTCTGCAAAAATAAATAAAATCTTTTGGATACAAATTTAGAAGACTAAGTTCAGTTTTCTTTGCAAGAGTGTCACATCATTGTTTTTAATTTAAAATGAATGAAAGGTAACGAAACAAAAAAAAAAAAATTAATAATTTTTTTTCCTTAAAAGATTAATTCCCAAGAGGCTGATACATTAAAATGATAAATGAAGAATCATATATTTTGAGTTAATTTATATTTTCAAATAAATAATTTTATGATTTCAGATTATGAATACGAGATATTAGATGCAAGAAATCAGTATAAAATACTTACACTTTATACTTTTTCATATCATTAATTTAAATATTTCTAGATTATGCCTTCGATCTAAAGGTAATTTTCGTTCCCTCCCTTCATTATTATTATACTCGAAAAATGTATTAGAAAAATATATATATTTTTTTTTTGCGCTACATGAAAGAAATAACTGATTTTTATCATTTAAATGAATCATTTAAGAATGTTGTTTCAATTTAAGATAAAATGATGATTATGCCTGGCATGTTAGGTTGGGTCGAAAACTGAAGAGAAATTCTCACATCTTTATTCAAACATCATTTTATGATTGAAAATAACTCGAACTAATAAAACTGATTTCGAAGAACTATTTTTAATTCGGAAAAGTCATTAATGAAAGATATCTTGAATGAAAAAGCTGCCTCCAAGCTAGCTTTTTGAATAATGTGCAATTCTTTTGCAGCTTGTATTTAATTTGAGAGAAAAAGTCTACATGATAATCTAACAAAGGTGTAAACAATATATTTTTTAACTATCTTGAAAAGTAATGAATTGCTATACACATTAACTATAACTCTCTAATCATCACCATACGTATTGAATTACAACTTAGTATTCTTCTATCGGATAATTTTGATTTTAAAGAAACTTTCTGCCTAAATCGATTCAGATAATTAAACAAATAAAAAGCAATCAAAATTATCATGATGCATCATCGTCACCCGATGTCACTGAAGATCCGCTGGTTATGCCCTTTACAAGTTAAATCATACGTAGGGTCAAACGTCCTCCCGCTGGTGTGGTGCGAAAGTTTGAAGAAGGAGGGCAACTCATGTGTAGTCCTTATGATCTGACCGCGATTCAAAAGTACGATGTCCGTCCCGAAATTGCCCTCGTGTCGCTTCAAAATGAGACTTTAAATAGCTAAACTAAACATTGTTTAAATTAGCTTTCAACAGTTTTTAAAACTCGCTTTGTGGCGGTCGTTGGTCTTGCAGTGGAGTAACTAGGGTGGGGCAGGTAGGGCACGTGCCCTGGGCGCAAAATTAAGGAATCAATTGGTTTCATATAAATCAAAAGTAAGTTTTTTTGTAGCTCTTATTCCCAAGATTCTTTAAAATTGAAATGGTTTCAACAAAGTGTGGGGAAATATTAAGGATACAGTCATTTTTACAACCCGGAAACTTCAAGCTACGACAAAATAACAAATTATATCATGTTTCCTGATTAAACACGAAATTAAAAGTTCGTTTAGAACTCCCACCCTACCGAGACACAAATTTGTGTCTCAGTGGGGTGTAGATAAGGGAACATAGTTAGGAATCAGTTATCATTGCAAGGTTTCTGATGGTTTCTCACGGTATGCCTGATTCCTACTCTGGATGGATATCAGTTTCTTCGGAAGTTGGTGATAAATGGTTTTGAAAAGTGTCATTCCTATTTTCAATCAGCATTCAGCAAAGAATTAAGAACGGAAAATATACCTCCATTTTTTTTGTGTAGTGCAAGAGCATTTCAGCAACTGTAAAAGACGTAAGTTCGCTATCTTTACATTGTTTTTAGTACTGAATATTTGCACAATTTGTATGATGAAAATGCGATAGTGTTTATTCTAAATTTTATGTCGCAAAACGTAGATGCATTTGTTCTGCCAAACGCGACCCCCCCCCCCAAAAAAAAAAATACAGAGAGAGAGAGAGAGAAGAGATAGCATGAAGTTTTGCAATTGGTGGTAAAAATTATCAGTACGTATTGAAGTTGAAATCAAGATAAATGAAAGCGATTTCTTTAATAATTAACGAGAACAAATACATAAAGAGGAGAGATTCAATTCCTGCAGTAATGTGAAATGTTTTCTTTCCTCGCTGAGTTACGCTATTTTCACCAATTAATTTTACTGTTAACAAACACTTTAGCATTTGATTTGACTAACAAATCATTAAACTACCAATACTCAGCCAAAAATAATTATTTAAATTTGTAAATATGGCAGACATTTTTTGTTTGTTTGTAATCCTCATGTTTAGCACATGTACAGACATTTCAGTACTAAAGTATTGTAATTATAAGCATTTTTGCTTCCATAAAAGCCAGAAAGTTTAATTTATAACATTTCGGATACACTAAAGCCTTTAAAATTTTTCAGAGATAATGTATCGTTTTTTTATGCACATAAATAATGTCTACAAAAATAATAAGGAATTGCAATTTTGCATGTCATAGATAAATTAATAAAGTTATAATTTTAATTCATTCTTGAATCAGCATTTTTTCCCTTTAATAGCGTATCCCCTAAATTCATGCAATAAATTTTAACTTAGTCATAAGGTGCTATATAAAACATTATTAAACTTTATTAGTGGTAAATTTTGATTAATATATTTTAAGAGATTTATGAAATTATGCGATGAATTATACTATGAATGTTATTAAATATATTTGTCACTAGGGTTTTTGTCTGATTTTATCTGTGTTACCAAAAGATTTACTTCAATGTTTAGAGTTCTTATATACTGTCTGTGGGCAAAAAAGTAAGCTATATAATTTTTTTCACTTTTATTCGTTTGCATGTTTTTTTTTATTGATTAAGAGATTTGTATACATTTTAAATTATTTTTCAAATCCGAGATAAATGGAATGCACCTTTTATTTATATATTTCTATGATTTCAAAAGTGTCTTTAAAAAAACTTTGATTTTCTAATTTTATCCATATATAAGGAATTCTACTTAGAATGCACCAAATTTTCTGTGAAAATTTGTAATGTGTAAATACTATCAACTCAAAAATGTTTTATACGTTATTTTTTAACTTTATTTGCACTTTCAATCTTTTCTCTACCCGCCATAAAGTTTACGAAAAGGAAATGAGGATCACATTTCAAAAGAAAAAAGAGGGGGTGCAGTTTCGGTATTTGCCCTGGGCGCCATTTTATGTAGGTACACCACTGCGGTCTTGAGGATCGAAATTATTTTGCTAGTATGGCACACAAGATTGTAGACTGCAATGCCGGCTCAAATGTGCATCTCTTTGCCAGCCCACAGTACAGAACTAAAAGATCCGTCCAAAAATACTCTTCAAGTATAGGTTTGTCATAATTAAAGTTCGTCTATTCAGAGGACCCTAGAGTCAGTTCCATGGCCCCAAATGAAACGCTAGTAGTATGTAATACACGCGCCAGGGATGCATGTTTTTCACGGAGCACATGGACTCAGGGGTCCTCCATCTCCGATAGTTACCGTTTGCCCTAACTAGAATTTTGATATAGACCTAAATAATAATTTACTGAATGGGGATTTTGATCTGCAAAGGAATATTGGATTAGTTCACACAAGGTATTTCAACCAGCATTCATTCGTCTCATTCATACAATGAAATATATAACACTGTCAGAAGTGGGGGTCGAACCCACGCTCTCTGTTGAGAACCAGAGCTTAAATATGGCGCCTTAGTCCGCTTAGTTATTCTGACTACGCATATGTAACCGGTATCTAGAGCCTTCTGAATAGGGGAATTTTAATTATAACAACACTGTGGATTCAAAAGTAGAAGTTAATGAAACTAAACCATATCCAAAACCGTACATAACTCATCATCTCATTAATCGAAGCTTTAGTATTCACTGAAGTAATTGCTTAAACGAAACGTGGAGGTGGCCCTAATCCCACTTAGGGAAGCAGGGCATCTTCTGTTGGTCAACTGACCATCTTTAAAAAACATCTGGCAAAAATATGACTCAGCTCCATGAGAGTAGGCTGCTCTCCTAGAAGATTTTCAGCTGAAACTGACTCATATTTGTGTTTTGCACAATGGTGGTCTCCCCCCACACACTTTTAGAGGAAAAAATTAAATTTTTATTGTATTTTAGATGTCTAAAACTATGAATTATATAAAAAAATAGAGTACAGGAAAGCTAGCTAATTTTGTAATTAAATTTTTAAATCTATACTCGGGGTACTTTTGGGTGTCTATAAATTTTTTACCTCCCCCCCACTTATGCCACCCAATCACCGCCATTGGTTTTAGTTGGAGGAAAACTAGAACTCCAGCAACCACCCTCCAGCAAAACTAAAGCTCTCATTGATCTACCAGTTTTTGAATAATTCTAGTTAAGAGAATAGCCAGACAATAAAATAACCTCACTAATTCGAGTTCATGTTCTTCCGCCATGTCTTGCCTCAACTCACTAGGCTACTGGTGAGCTAAAGCAAAAGTGCTGATATTGGCGGGCCACATAATTTCTATGGAAGTTCTGAAATTTTTTTGAACTGCCAGTGTATAATGTGTCTTTAATGTGTTTTCTAAAATGATAATGTTTAAAGATGTGTTTTCTAAAATGTGAGGAAAACTAGATTTTTCCGACTCTTGTAAGTAGGTATTTATTATCATAATATTACTAAAACCATCTGAAGTTTTGAATAAATTTATTTCTATTTCTTTCTGTCTCTACAGTAAAGTGCCGCTAATCCGGACCCCGCTTGTCCGAACATCCGGTTAAACCGGAAGGGATCTTTAAAAAGCAGGATATTAATGATTTTAGTAAGAGGTCAGTATGAAAATAATATGCGCACATCCTGTTACTAAGCTGTGTAAATTAAGCTGTAGGAAAAGTTGTATGTATTTATGAAGAAAAACTTTGATTTGTATACCCATCTTAAACTTATATTACGTGCATTTTAAGGCAAATTCCGTTTATTTTCCGTTTCGTTTATTCGGTCTGGATTACTTTCGGTAATCCAGACCCATCTAGTCCGAACTACCGGGTCTCTTCTGTACTTCCGTATTTTGATATAATCGAAAGTTATATTAAATTTCAGTCAAGAGATTTTATCCCTCTTCTGAATAACTTTTCTTAATTTTCATTTGTTTCTAAACGTTTTCTATGCGAAAATAATATGCGATTGTTTAATGAATCGCTCTTAGTTTCATTAATAAAACTCCGCTATCAGTAATACTTCTAATATACCTGCAATTGGTTCTTTGTTACTATCTGGTCTCCAACAAAATGTGATACAGACAAGATAAAACAAATCGAGAACGGGAGTAGGATACAATTTCTTTCAATTTCAAGATCTTCCACTTCATTGATAATGAAAGCGAAAATATCCGAATTCTGAATTTCATTTTCTTTCCCCGCCATCAATACCTTATACCAATAAATAAATATTGCATTTGATTGTTTGATTTGAACAGATTATGAGATAATAATCTGTCCAAAAAACGTTATCTTCTTGAGAGAGTTTTGATTTTTAATTTTATACGATGTACACAAAGAGAAAGTGCGATAATCGTCAAGAAATTCTACTTCACGATTTTGATGAATCCCCACATTTTAGACATCCGTGAGTCCTAGAAAACGATTTTTGGAACTACATCTGGAACACGATAACTCAAAAACGGAACAAGCTAGACGAATGAAATTTGGTATTCGGTCTTTACACCAAATTTGTAATTTTCTATCAAATTTTAGGCTCTTTTCTGGAATTCTATCTGTGTCTATGTCCATGTACTTCATTTATTTCTCTATACCAGTGGCGAATCCAGGATTTCGGTCGGGTGGTGGTGGCTGAGGTCATAAAAATTTTGCATCGTCGTGACAAATGTCAAAAGCCACATGGCTTATGAAAATCAAAACACTGTAACTTTACAGACTTTCCTCACATGACAATAAGAATCATAAAGAACACTACAATACTTTAGATAATTTAATAAAAAACATGATAAAATAACTATCCAAAAATTGTTTTTGACCGCGTTAAGGTACAAGTACGAGTGGAATGACTACAAAAGTAGGGAAATTTTCGAGTCTGTCAAGCCAGGAAGAAATATTGTCACTTTTTTTAAAGGAGCAATAAGAAAAAACAGCTGCAGTGATTTTTAATAAAATAAAGATTTATGCTCTTGCTCTGGGGGGCTGCAGCCCCATAGCCCTACCTCCCCTTGAATTCCCCACGGCTCCATACTATAAAACGAAAGACAAAATGCACTCGTGTAAATATGCGAGAAGATTGAAGAGAGGATACTCTCGCTAGTTTCGAATTTCCCAAAGAACCTATTTTATGAGTTTAATCAAGCATGTAACCTGATTGTTTAATGAATGAGACAAAGATTCTTTTTAACTTGGTAAAATATAGTTATAAATTAATATACTTCTCGTTTAGTGCAGCTTCCTTCTTCTGTCCAAACAAGTTCTTGAATTAACATCTGCACTTACCCTCATTTCGTCTCCGGGTGCAATTAATCAAATTCTTTACAAAAGCAATTTTGTTGGAAATATTATTAGATATTTTTTTTTACTTTCCAGATTATTTCGGTAATCATTTTAGGCTTATGACCGTCCAGATAAGACCCGACTGATAAGAAAACAAATTAAGGAAACTCTTGGGGTTATTTTCCTTTGCTGATTTCATCAAACTATTTTCCAAATCAGGGCCGTCTTATTTGAGCGCTCTGGGATATAATCATTTAGCGCCCCATCAGAACCGTAACTAGGAATTTGAGAGTCTATGGCCCAACGAAAATAGCTATCTAAAAAATGAATTGAGGAGCCAATAGAAAGTCACCTGTTCTGTGGTTAACATCTTATAATTTTGCAAATTACCACCTTCTGAAAATACGATATTTCAAGCCAGCTTCCGTAATGTAGGTAACTTCTATTGCACGCAGGATTGAGGATTTTCTCCCTGATTGTATCTCAGTGAATATTTTTTTTTAATGAAATACTTGCGTAACATTACAAAAATCGATGGCTGTCTAGTTACTCGACCTAATAACATCTTTATTTTTAATATATTTAAAATCATAATTAAATAAATTGTTTGGTTCAAAAATAAAATAAAATTCCCGATTATATTTTATGGGCCGCCATTGACCAAAAAATGTAATCGGCGATTATATATTGGGCCTCCATTGACCCAAAGGCGCCTAAAAATATAGTAAATTTTTAGGCGCCTTTGTTCAATGATGGCCCTGGGCTACAACCCAATTAGCCCACTGGATAAGACAGCCCTGTTTCCAATACTATGAAGAAACCTGGGACTAATAGGAAAGGATTCAGCTGCTTTCTATTGGAATTTTTTTAATGTTTGTAAATCGGCAATGACACTTCACAATTTCCATCCGATTACGTCAGATATGAAATAGTACTTAATGTGAATTAGTTACTTAAAATTTAAACAAAGCCGAACTATTTAGGACGTATATATATATGCAATTCCTTGAAAAGAAGGGAAAACAGCAACATTTCCGGATAATTTGGGTTGTCCAGTCACCTGGCCTAATCATTTTGACTTATTAACTGTCGATCCTATCAGGACTAATAACAGATTGACTTCTTTCTGACTTATTTTCGGGTTCTACGGGAAGAGCATCGATTGTCCGGGTTAAATGATGTCGCTGCATTATCTGGATGACGTGTTAATTATCCGAACTGTTCAAAGGTTAACCATATCTAGGTTATCTATTCTTCACGTTTCGGAATTTTATTGTCAATTTGAAACCTAAACCTGAACAAATCTACTTTGATCGCTTTTTTCAAGAAAATGCAGACTAACAGAAATGTATTACGTTTTTATCTAATGCATTAAATTAGGTGTTAATGTAAATTTTGCTGATTAGTTTGTAACAAGTTGATTTCTCATGTGGAATCTGGCTGGAAGGATAGGAATACTATAGCTCACCTTCTCTTACCCCCGTGTCCAGGGACAGATTTCCCATGGGGCGAACCTAGTCCATGGCCTAGGGCGCATCCGTCAAGGGACGCATGTAAAGAAGTAATGACAACCAAATATTTACACACATCAGTATTATTTTCAAAAGGCCATATAAAATTATATTTCTAAAATCTACATTCGTTACATTAAATGTGTTGAGCGATGCATTTTTGTTTCCTGTGGACCTTATAGTATCCTATTGAACTTATATATCCTTATGAACTTATATATACTTATATATAGTATCCTTTGAACTTATTTGTATTGAAAGAGATTTAAAAAGATCTATCTATTTCAATGACCTTTCAAACCATTTACGGATAAAAGTGCGAACGAAGAAGTTCTGTTTGGTATTTCAGGTGGTTTCAAGAAATTGAGTATTTTTGTAGGCGTTTCTATTATGTTATTTCATTAGTCGTGTCATTTTGAATTCAAAATTTAATGTGGTTCAAAGATTACAAATCGTCACTTAACAAGCAACACCACCTGTCTCAATTTTTTGAAATGTCGAAGAGGAAGAAAATAACTGAATTTTTCGCAACCAATAACGAATATTTCTGAATTTTCTTCGCATCTAATAGGAACTTGCGGTCTTATGTTCCTATCAGATGTTTAAAAAAATTAGAAATATCCTTTATTGGTTATGAAAAATTGCGTATTTTCTTCCGCTTCGACATTTCAAACAATTGAGATAGGTGGTGTTGCTCGTAAAGCGACGAAATATTGTATTAAGTGCTTATATGTTTCAAAAATAAGCTA